GGTGTTGTTCACCAAATTCCAAAAAAGTAAAAAAACAAAACAGAAATGGCGTTGAGTTCCAGGTTTTATAGAGCGGACCAACAACAAAGCCTTTTTTTGGCTTTGAAAACATGCAAATTGAACCTGAGGAACAGCTTGGAATGGGGGTTGTTTGGCTTCTTTATTAGCCTGCAACACCCAATACTGGTCTATGTCTTTAAAAAGGGGGGTCCTTATAGGGAATTGTTGGCCCGGCTGAAAGGCGAGGTTTTCTGTTCCCCTTTACGGACCCGTTCGTCCGGTTCAATTTGCATGTTTTCTAAACCAAATCAAGGCTTTGTTGGTCCACTCTATAAAACCTGGAACTCAACGCTATTTCTGACATTTTAATTTGAGAAAACTTCCTGGATGGAAGAGAAACGTCTTCAAACTTGGAAACAAAGTCAAGTGGATTGTTTTTTATTTTTTTTGAATGATTCTGACCTGGATGACTGAGAACCTTCACCAGCATATTGTTCACCAAATCCACAATTTATTTTGTTTTTCCTGCATTCTTCTTACTCAAACATTGAATCATTGTTGTTTTTGTCTAATAAAATCCAATTAAAACACACTAAAACTAATTTCAGGTTTAAATGTGTGGAGCTTTAACCACCCAGAGGTGCACTGGTGCCCATTCAGGCCAGAATCTACCGCTTCCAAAGAAAAGGGGTGTGGATGTTGTAGAACTGCTGAGTATCCAGATGTTTTCTGTTGTTAGTCCCAACAAAAGGAAACACTTCAGAAAGATGTATCATGCTTTATGTCTGCAAAATGATCTGTTCATTAACCGATTCATGGCGTCTCATAAAAATGACCATGGCACCTGTTTCTAAACATTTAGCTCTTTAGAACCTTGATACCATGAAACTGTCCCATGCCTACTGCCAGGCCACACTTTGGCTCCCTGCTCTGGCTTTAAAAACACAAAGTTAGTTTAATTTAGCTTAAAATTAATTATTTTAATGTAACAAAACCTCAAACTTTTTTAATGCAATGCAAGGGGTTCTGTAATTCAGTTAAATGACACTCACTGTTATCCATTATCATCCTTGTTATTATTATTATATTATTATTATTATGAAATGTTCTATATTTTTGTATGGCATTATCCTCCTAGGGAATAAAGTTGAATAAAATGAAAATATTTTTTCATCATTTTATTGCTCAGATGGCTGTGGTCGGTTCGCTCTATATTAATCATGTCTGGAACCTCCTTTTTTGGGGGGTTATAGCGCCATCTAGTGGTTGAAGTTGCAAAACTGTAAGAAAACAGTAAAGTTTCTCTCAAAACCCTTGCCACATTTTGTCTAAAAAAAAAAAATTTGATTGCATTTTTTTTTTAATTTCCATTGATTTTAGAATATGATCTTTGCTTTCAAAAATAATGGATCAAAATTAACTCCATAAGCAGGAAAATAAGGCTTTTTACTAATTGATGATATGTCGATTTACATTGTAAATAAAAAGAAAAACAGCTCCTTATATAACTTCTGTTTTGTCTGCATTCAGGAGCAGAAAGTCAAGAGTCACCCAGATTTTTATGTCTTTATTTAATTTGAAGTTCATATTATCTTATCTTATTTTAAGGGCATGAAAACTAATTTCATTGACAGATGGTTTTATTTTTATTTTATAAATATTTTACTGCTCAAAATAAGTAAAAATTGTAGAAATCTTTGCAGTGAAGAGAGGACTCTCATTGCTGCTGTGCCTGTTGCAGGTTTATTCCATTTTAACCATCATCGAAACATCCTTTTTTGAGGTTGCAGCACCATCTAGTGGTCGAAGCTGAAACACTAAAAAAAAATACAACTCATTGATTTATGAAGAAGGGAAAAAAAACATAGAAAGTTTATTTGACCTTGATTTTAGCAGGTAAACTAGAAGATCTGCCAACTTATTTAACATTTTAACTTTAGAAAAAGACAATTAGATTTGCACCTGCAAAATATTAATGGGGATTTTTTGTTTTTTCCGTGTTTGAAACTTAAATTGTCTCATTCCTTCATATTCACACCTGCTCAAATTGGGGAAAAATGGAAAAATACATTGTTAAGATAAATTTTATTTAATTTTTTGCAGTGACAGCTTGTTGCTGTCCCAGCTTTACAACCAGCCCAACCAACAGTCTTACTGTGTTTCATTATTAATATATTTTTTGCACAACAAGGATCTAACAAAATACTGTAACCATCTGACAATAAATATTTGATTTGTTCACAGTTAAGAGTGAAAATGTGCACCATGAATGCGCAGCAGATGTTCACAGCAGTTTGGTGCACATTGCGCAGTTAGGCAGAAGGTGAGACTACAGAATACAGCAGCAGCACATGATGGATCGACATAAACCTTGGAGGTTTTCACTTTGAGCTTCAATCTCTGAGGATCGCACACAGCTTGCACCCATGGGGTAGAATAGTATCCTTTCTCTGTTCCAGTGTTTGGAAGAAATAGTCAAAGGTTTTCTAATCATGTGTCTGTTTGGCAGTAAAGGAGGCAGTGGCTTTAAAACCCAGCAGTTTGGGTTATGCACAGCTAAAAACTTCACACTCTAAAGCAAAACTTTTTTCTTTTCTTTTGTCCTGGAGGCTACAATCTGATATTCTGGATATTTTGTTCTCATTCTAGTGGTGCATTTCACTCAAAATCCATGTTTTAGGCTAAAAAAAAGAGGTGAAAGAGCCGGCGTCATGACAGTAAGCTGCTTGTTAGACTTATATTTAGTGGCTAAAGGCTGCATGTTTTTGCGTAATGGAGAGCAGGGCATGCTGTCTGCACAGTGTTTTTAAACCCGGTTCATTTATTCGTCCCACGTTTTGGATTAGATGCTTTGCTGGGATTTGGCTAAACAAACAAACTGCAGAATACATAAATAAGTAATCTCTCCTTTAAATAATTATTTCCTTTGGAAGTGTTTCAAGTAAAGATGGAAAATGGAACAAAAAATCGATAATAAAAAATAAAATGGTCTGTAATCTTCGATGTGGGAGCACATTCTGAGCTTCTCTCACGGATAACATGCTGGTCTTATTGTGTTTCTATTTTAAATAAAAATGTTAAAAGTATGTCTTTAATGCAGTGATCCCACACTGTGTGCACAACAAACCCCTCTAATACTGGACCAGCGCGTTGGTCTGGCTTCATTTTGCAGTCATACAATAAATTTTTTTTTTTATATTTACGTCTTTTTCTTTCTTATGGTAGGTTTATTTTCTTGTGATCTGAGCAGGTAAGATAATTTTCTAATGGAATAGGATTATTTGCATTGTCTGATCCCCATTGCCTAATTTCTAAAGCATCTCCATTACCATTCTGAAGAAGCAAAACACTGATTCTATTGCCGGATCATCTCATTTATCTGTTCAAGTATAGAACAATACACAGATTTGAAGAGATTTTTGCAGTTTAAGCCATTCTAACCTGTGGAGTGACACAGATGGACTTATTATTGTTAGAGTTCTTCAGGTTATCCTTTGCTATCTATAATTATGCTGCTGTAGCCTTAGACTGCTGGAAGACATAGGGGAAACTTTTCCTCCTCACCTTTATTCACCTTATTTTTAGATTAGCTGTTGCAGTGTAATATACTCTAAAAAGAATTGATAAACTCTGGATCATTAGTTTAATTAAAAGTCTTATGGTTTAATAGTTTATAAAGATGTTTTATTATTAAACTTGCTGCCATTGTTAGTGGTTTCCTTATGCAAGAAACCAGAAAGCTGTTCTTGATAAACATAGTTGAGAAAACAATAGAAATTGCAGAATGTAATATTTGCACGCCTACCATCTGA